AGTTGGAACAGCGGCTTGCCCAAGGGTGAAGACCTTGGGCTTCTCATCTGGTGTGTCACCTTCCAGGAAGATGGGGTTGGTCATCTGGTCTGACTGGGTGGGAGGGGTTTTGGTCTCTCCTAGGAGACCCCGAAACATGTGAGGGATTCCTACCATAGGGTGGGCTACTCACCAGGCTCTCTTCTAGCTGGGCTCCCGTGGAAGGCACCCGGGATGTCTGCTCCTGCTGTGAGATGAAAAGCTGTGGCTTGGCCAGGCACTCCAGGAGGCTCCACGCTCCCTCCCAATGGCAAGGAGGACGTGCCCGGAGAGAACTGCCCTCCCAGCTTGGTAGGTCTCAGTGTGCCTCTTGGTCTTTGTTGCCATCGTGGAACTTGGTCTGACTGGGTGGGAGGGAGCTGCCTCACTGCCTGTTGGCTCCTCAGTGCTAATCCAAGGCTTGGAAGAGCTAGATGTTCAAGTGAGTTTGAGTGCTCAAAGGTCCTCCCTTTCAGATCCCTTGGTGAAAGAAGCAGATGTTGTGGTTGGACCTCTCTTCATCCACAGCTGGCAGGATCACCCAGTTAGGAAGATGTCTTCACGAGGTAGGGCAAACCTAGGGAAGGGGGGGAGGGTTGTGTGGCAGGTCCTGGCTGCTCTGGCCATAACCACCTCCTTACGTCTCCTTCCTAGATGCGGGTCACTTGTGGATGGTATTGGGGCTGGCTGCAGTTGCTGGTTTGATGATCCTGGTCCTTGCTGTTCTAGGAGCTCTGACTGTCTGCCGGGAGCCCAGAAACCCCCTCTAAGTCACCGGTTTCAACTTTTATAGTCTGTCCAATAAAAAATAAATTGAAGGGCTGTGAGAGGCTTGGTGGGGGGAGCGGAGAAGTCTTCCTGGAGCCTGAGCTAACAAAATCTTCGCGCTAACTTTAACTGTGCTTCCTTGCCTCCCTAAGGCCAATCTTGGTGTCTCCTTCTCCTGAAAGCCTGTCCTCAGCAGAGCTTTGTACAGCCTTACACCCCCATGAACTTCCCCCAGAGCACCTAGTTGGCAACTGATGCAAAAAAAAATTAGCCTCCAGACACCCTGTTTTCTTGTCTGTAGAAGCGTGGAGTTGTGTTTAGCCTCAAAATGTTTTATCTTTCTGTGGAGCTACTTGGGTCTGCTCTGTACTGGTAACTCTTCACTCAACCAGCCAAGGGGAGCTAAGGGTTTAGTAAAACTTGGATAACTCTCTTCCAGCCTGAAGCTGCTTCTGGGAGGGAAATCCAAGCTCTGCTGGATGAGGAAGGGAGCACAACTTGAGGCTTGGGCTCTTCCTGGGACAGACGGAGGCAGGAATTCCAGTCCCTGCCCCAAGGACTGTTTACACATAGTTAATGTACAAGCCTTGGCTGAAGTGTATAAACAGTCCTTGAGGCAGGGACTGGAATTTCTGCCCACCCCCCAAAAAGGGGCTTTCTGACATGCCTGAGTCATATTTGCTTTTTTCCTCCTGTTGCTGTGAAACTTGGCCTCTTGTGCTCAGCAGAGCAACTGTAATGGCAAGATGTTCCTGCCCCGAACGCAAAACTTGTTGCTCTCCACTAGCTGGGAGAGGCTCCCGCTTTAGGCAGCGGTGGGAACTGAACATCTTGGGACGGTGGGCTCAGGGAAAATGGAGACCTGCAAGGAGCTGGGGCTGCCTTGCAGCATGGCCACCTCTTGAGCTGGTTTTGCAGGGGGCAGGAGGACTACTGCAACCTTTTAGCCTGCTCTGGGCGAGCTTGGGCAGCTCTCTTGGTCATGGAGGACAGAGGAAAGTGGTATCTTGCACAAGCTGGCATGTCTTTGAGTGTCATCCAGCACCCTAGAGACCCTCAGCCAGATGTCCTTTGATAGATGTCACCTTGCACCGGGATCTCTTTGGTACAAGGTGCCACGTCGGACTTGGGACTTTGGGTCACCTAAACCACTGTCCCATCCCTTCCCTTGCTCTCAGTCTGGCTGCTCACAGTTCAAAAGGCAAATTAGCCCTCCCTCAACATTAAAAGATTAGTTCTGGGTTGGATCGGGGAGCTGCACTGACTTTGGGTTGGGGTTGTCAGTATGGCTTCTTTCCTCACCCATATAATCTGACCCTTGCTGGGAGGGCTTGGTCCTTGTCTCGAAGCAAGGTGAGAGGTAGGAGATTTTCGGGGGAATAACTGGGAGATGTCTTCGCCACCCCCTGAGAGCTGCGAGCTGTCAGCTTCTGGGGCAGAAGGGAGAGGAGGAGGGTGTGGAAGCGTGGGTGGAAGTGATCCCGGAAGGTCTCCAATCCAACACCAGAGGTATCAGCTTGGGGTTGGCCTGGCTGAGGCTGGCAACGTCCCACCTCTGCGTGCCCAGCCCAGGGCTGCACAACCCTCCTGGAGAAGAAATATTTCCTCACCCGACCTGAACCTCCCAGACCACGAGTTGTGGCTGCTGGCATGCGTTAAATCTTCATATAACTGATTCCTTCTTGATCAGCATCTTCTGTAGATGTTCAGTGCCCTGACCATCCCTTGGCACACGTGCTCTGAGCGGGGACTATCTCTGGTTCACTGAGACAGACAGAGGAGCCTTTTAAATGAAAACCCTTCTCTATGCCACTAGCACAGCTGCCCTGCAGCCATTCAACCAAAATACCTCAGCTGGCTCCAGGAATGAAGACAAATATCGACCAAATTTTGGTCTACAAGGAAACTGGGGATGGGGAAATGCTCTCTGGCGTTCCAGAGCTTTCCAGCAGCTCCTGCCCCTTCCTGGGCAGCACCCCCAGCTCCGGTGAATCTCAATGGCAGTGCTGACCTCATCGTCTGATGAGAGATTTTTAACTTAAAACTTTACGTGGTAACAAAAAATGCGGTGTGCTTTAAAGTCTCCTTTATACAACGGGGGAGAACCCCTGGGGTTTGTGCTTGTCCAGTGCCCTGGGACTTTCTGGTCTCTGCCTCCTCCAAACAAATGAGCTCACGCTCTTTCCCAACTGCGCTGGTCCACGGCCAATGTCATGTTGTGCTTGGAACAAAGACGGGACGGCTAGTCCTGGCAAGGGCTAACCTGTGAGCAGAAATCCCCCTTTTCATCGAGAAATACCTCCTCTCCTCTGGCCCTGGGTGTGTTTCTCCACCTGGGATTCACCTCTGCTAATTTGAGCTGTGTAAACACAGGGTGGCCTGTCAGAGGGATTTGTTCTCCTGCTGGGATCAAGCCCTGGTACCCAGAGACCCACGACCTAACCCTGGAGCTGGCCCCTGAGCTGCAGCTCTCTGGATGCGACGGGGTGAGACCAGGCATCTCCTGCGGTCCTTGCAGCCAAGGACCTGGCCGAGCGGTGCTCTCTCCCCCGGGAGGGGGGCAGCTGCTTATTTACTGATTCAGCATCGCCCGCTGCCTTATCTCCGTGACGCACGGGGCTCAGCCTGCTGGAATCCCTGGCATTTCTGTGCAAGTGCCAGTTTCAAGGTATTTTAAACACGGAGGCAAAGTCCTGGACCCGCTGACAGCAGCAGGGACAGGGCATCGGCTCCCCAGGGAAAGGAGCCGGCGGGAAAGGCAGAAGGTTTTACTCTGGTCCGTAATATTTTCTAGGATTTCTGCTAGAAGCGGGCTGGCCAACATCTGCCCCCAAAAACTTTCTGTTTCTTTTCATTTTCCCAGAAATGGCTCAGCCGCTCCAGCTCGAACATCCAAATCAGATGTCCCTAAGGCTTGCCAGGGACATCCCAAAAGCTGGAGAGGGATTTGGGGTATGAAACGGAGCATCCCTCGTACGGAGCCAATGGGATGCTTGCAGAGCCCTGGCAGGAAAAAGGAGTTAAAGATGCTCAAAAGAAGGGACAGAAACTCCAATAATGAGGCTTGAAAACATATAGGGTTTATTTTTAAGCAGCTTTCCCTGTTGCCCAGCTGTGAGGAGCCGGGCAATGCCCAGCCCTGCTCGCGGGGGGTATGAAACGGAGCATCCCTCGTACGGAGCCAATGGGATGCTTGCAGAGCCCTGGCAGGAAAAAGGAGTTAAAGATGCTCAAAAGAAGGGACAGAAACTCCAATAATGAGGCTTGAAAACATATAGGGTTTATTTTTAAGCAGCTTTCCCTGTTGCCCAGCTGTGAGGAGCCGGGCAATGCCCAGCCCTGCTCGCGGGGGGTGGGCTACAAACCGGGGTGCTGCGGCGTGGGGAAGGGAGCGATGGGTGGAGCGCCTCGCCTCCGGCTTCTTCTACCCCGAGCCCGTTTCCTTGAAGGCAGCAAAACAAACGCAAGCCAAAGGGCTGGGGAAGGGCAGCAGAGATAAAAAAGAAAGGTTGCGGCTCTGCAGCTAATGAGCTCACTGCCGAGGCTGAAATGGGGGTTGTTCGGCCCCGGCTGAGAACGGCTGCGCTCGTGTCAGTCGTGAGGGCGCTCCATCAGCTGCTGCTGGGTCAGCGGTGACCGAACATCCCGGTCCCGGCCCCGCTGAGGAGCGAGGGGGTTGCTTAAAGCCCCTGTTTGGGCTGGAGCTGTGAACACGTGTGTTCCCGGCCCCCCGCCAGCACATCAGCATCCGAGCGGAAAACCAGAGTCCCAGGGGGGCCGACGGCGCCGGGCAGGGATGGTCCCAGCGAAGCGGACGGGAAGCACCCGGATTGGGATCGTGGACCCTGCTTTCCCTGCTCCTGTCACCTCCCCAGCAGCCTTGAAAAGCCCCTTATCACCTTATAACCTAAACAAGCCACTTTGTACCAGTCTCCCCGTCTCCGGCTTCTGCCGAGTTTTATAAACAACTTCCCCAAAGAGGCTGACGAGGATGTTTTCTCTTGCCTTGGGCAGCCCGGGAACGGGGGGTCCCGGCACCCCGGAAATGACTCGGCTGTGCCTCCCCTCTCCCCGCGCCCACGAGGGCTGGCCTTTGGGTGCCATTGGTCCCCAAACAGGAGCCCAGGGGCAGACGGCTCCTGCTCCCGGGGAGATATAAAGGCTGGAAGAGCAGCCCCGGATCTCTGTGCCGGGGTTTGCTGGAAGAAGGAGGGATGGGACCCAAAAGTGGCTTGATCCTCACTCTTCTCTGCTGGGCGGTGGGCGAGGTGCCTGCCTACCCACCCTGGGATTTCTCCCGGGGTGACCCTGCAAGCCGGGGGGCACGGGCAGACCCCTACTCCTGGTCCTGGGTGGAGGACCCCCAATCTCAAGCCATCTCCAGCCGGCAGCCAGTGACGGTGCAGTGCCAGGAGGCTCAGGTGGTGGTCACGGTGCACAGGGACCTCTTCGGCACCGGCCGCTTGGTCAACGCGGCCGACCTGACGCTGGGGCCGGCGGCGTGCAAGCATTCCTCGCTGAACCCTACCCACAACACCATCACCTTCACCGCCGGCCTCCACGAGTGCGGCAGCATCGTGCAGGTAAGACCTTCTCCCCCTCGGTGCTTCCCTGAGTCCCGGGGTCCCGCCTGGCATCCCCCCCCCGGAACAGCTCCAGGACCATGCACTGGGCATCCCCCATGATGCCGGGGGAGCTCTGGGTGCCAGACGCAGAGCACCATCGAGGAACACGCCAGGGGAAGGACGAGCAGGTATTTCCCCCAAACCAGAGCGTTTTTCCCCCAAAGCTATTTTGCCCTTTCAGCTGGAGACACGCCGATGGTGCAAAGCCCCTATGTCAGACCCATTTCGCTCGTGTTTTGGCCCATTAGGAAGTTTAACTCACTGAGAACGGAGCAGGGCTCCTTCTCTACCCCCTTTTTCCTAGATTTTTCCCCCCTTTCTTTGGATTTCCCCAGCATTTCTCAGTTGGGAAAGGATGGCTACGTGGCTCGGTGGTGGTGGGAGGTAGGGTGGCCTCTCCGGGAGCTTGTTAATGCTTTTCTGCCCAGATCACAACGGATTCCCTCATCTACCGCACGCTCCTCAACTACGACCCCAGCCCCGCCAGCAACCCCGTCATCATCCGCAGCAACCCTGCCGTCATCCCCATCGAGTGCCACTACCCCAGGTAAGGGCTCAGCCTGGACCCCGAGTGCCGGCACGGGGACGTGTCCGGACGCCCGGTGGTTCTTGCCCAGGAGGGAGAACGTGAGCAGCAACGCCATCCGGCCCACCTGGGCTCCCTTCAGCTCCACGCTGTCGGCGGAGGAGAGGCTGGTGTTCTCCCTGCGCCTCATGAACGGTAGGTGGGAAGCCATCCTGACCTGCGGACGGGGATTTTCCACCCTTTTTCCCAGTGCGGGGGAGCTGGGGGACCCAGCGCCCCCCTGGGGCAGCCAGCACACCCCA